TCTCTCTCTCTCTCTCTCTCTCTCTCTCTCATTTCCCCCATAGGTTCCTATGTTTGAGTACTTGGTCCCCAGTTGGTGGAACTGCTTGGGAAGGATTAGGGGGTGTGGTTTTGTTGGAGAATGTGTGTCACTGGGAGTGGGATTTGAGGTTTCAAAAGCCTGTGCTATTCTCAGTTAGCTCTCTCTTTCTGTTTCTCTCTGTCTCTCTTTGTGTCCTCCCTCTGTGTCTTTTCTCTTTATCCCTCTGTCCCTCCCTCTGTTTGTCTCTCCCCTTCTTGGATAAGAATGTAAACTCTCTATCATCATGTAAACTCCTCTATCATCATGCCTGAATGTATGCTGCCAGGTTCCCCACCACGATGGTCGTGGAACTGTAAAAGCCCCCAATAAACTCTTTGTTCTACAAGTTGCTATAGCAGTGGCGTCACAGCAATAAAGAAAAAGTAACTAAGACAGTTGCCTATCCACCTTCACTTCTGGTGGAGATTAGGGGATAGACTGTACTTGCTGAAGAAGCCAAGCCTCAGAAGAGGCAGAAACTTTAGCCCTGGACAGGAGGGAGGGGTAAGAGGACTAGACACTATTTGGAAAGAGCTAAAGCAGGTCTCCATGGTTTCTAAGCTGCCCCATCGATTCCACTTCATCACAACTAAAGTTCCAAGAAAAAAAAAAATCTCTCTTCAAAGGGAGTTCTCAGCAATCAGAGGTTGGTTGTCCGCCAACTCCAATGATCACCAAACAAGTTCCATGACCAAACATGAAAGGACACTCAGACCACTGATCGGTGGATGGCTACCTGAAGCTTAGAATTTCCTCTTTGGGATTCAGGTGTGACAACCAGGTTCTTAGAAGATGAAAAGCGGGGCTTACCGACCACTCTGCATTGTCTGTCTTGGAACATCTCACGTTCACGGGCAGGCTAAGGACAAGCTTATTGAAGGATAGCCCTTCTTTTTTAGTCCACTTAAATTTGTTCATTGCATCCATGAAAGAAAGGTTTTTATATTGCTTCGGGCTTTTGATAATGAAAGGCCATGTCCTGAAATTAAATAATCACAATTACATTTAGTACATCACATTGCAGTATAGTACATTTCATATTTCCTGTAATTTTCAACATTCTAACATAGACTTCATGCATACTCATTTTTTTAAATATAAAAATAATTCCACATAAGGCATTTATGGACTCATTAGTTGTTACTGGAAGTCTTCTCCAAATAAGGAGACTTTCTCTTTCTTTGACATTTATTTATTTTATGTGTATGAGTGTTTTGACTGCCTATATGTATGTGTCCCCCATGCATGCCTCATGCCAAGGGAGACCTGAAGAAGAAATCAGATTCTTTGAACTTGAACAGTTATGGATGGTAGTGAACTGCTATTTGTGTGCTGAGAACTAAACTTGGATTCTCTGTAAGAACAAGTGCTCTTCACTGCTGAATGATCTCTCCAACTAACAAGTAAGGAGGCTCTTAAAGGAATGATTCATCTTCTTTAGATGCAAGTGGTTATTACTTTTATTTTTATTGCTTTAGGTGAAATTATAGGCAACCTTTATTTACACTTTTCAGTTCCATACACTGATCAAATTTTGTTGCTGGGTGGTTTGTTTTGTTTTCAGAGAGATTCTCTTCGTTCAAATTCTCTTTGTTCTTGAGAATTTCATACACATATACAACAAAATATGACCATATAATTATATGGTCATCCGCATGCCCCCAACACACTCCCTCCCAATTTCATGTCTTTTCCTTTTCTTTTCTTTTGTAACCCACCAAGTCCAGTTAGGGCTGCGCATATGAACACGAGTGTGGGGCTGTCCATTAAAGCATGGGAATCCGGCCAGTGGTTGTTAACTTTTAGACAAATAATTTTGCTTTGGAACTCTTTCCTAGGGCTTGAAAATTCCAGTTAACATTATAGCATAACTGGTAGGTATTAATGTCTGAACTGGACGATGCTACTGATGATTTGGTAAAGAACACTTCCGGTTCTTGAAAGTTACTGTAACCGGTTTAAACTTCAGAGTGTCCAGCAGAAAAGCCACCCCAGAATGTCCTGCTCTGGTTGCTTGAGAGGATAAGCACTAAAGGTTTAGAACTGAATCGGTGGCTTAAGATTACACTGAAGCTGTACGTGGTGGCATCTGCCTATAACCCTAGCACTCAGGAGACAGAGAGGGGGATGAAAACTTCAAGGCCAACTTTTGCTACCCAGTGAGTTCAAGAATAGCCTTGGCTACATGTAACTCTGTCTTAAAAAAATAATCTTACTGAAAAATTATACTTCACACCTAATATACTCTGCTTCCGTGGGCACCCTTTTAAAATAAGACACATGATTTTAAACGCCAAAGAAAGAAGATAACATGGATGTGCCTTAGTCAGCTTGAAAGGAGATTCAGGAGACTGCTTCCCCCAATGCTGCATATTATTGATTTCTAAAAAAGAAAGGTAAACTATTTACATGTCCAAAACTTGACATTAACTAAATCATAGTTGTTACACAAGATTATCATGAGTGACCGATAGCCTGTGACAGCCCCAGATGATGATTTAGGGATTGCCAGTAGTCACAGATAATCATGCCCAGCTGCTGAATCCACAGTTTAAATGCTGGGTCCTCACATCTGTTCATTGGCTTGTTCCTGCCTCTCTCCAACCTGGGCAGCCCGCTTAGGCACCCTGGATGTTATCTTTTTAAACAAGATACACAAACTATAAATCCGAGGGGCAGGAAGTTATAAAAGTAATATTTTCATGACAAAATTGAAAATTGTTTTTCATCTGTTCTAAGAACCGAGAAAATAAGAAAAGTGGGTACTATTTTAGTAGGCTTCTGTCCTTCAGCCCTAATCCCTCCCTCTAATTCAAGTCAATATAACTTTGTAGAGTCTTATATATATATTATTTAACACAGTCTTTAATGCTGAGTACTGTAATAGCAGTCAGCATCATATTACGTTAACTGTGTCATGCAGTTTTCTAAAATCTATAGCATTTTCTAATAAAATTTTGGTGACTTATAGATATAACCCAGAATTGCCATAGAGCAAACCTTGACTAGAAAGAAGCCTGTTAAATTTGCATATTCTACCATTTAAAATTTGCTGCTAGTTTTTTATACATGTAAAGTAGTTTTGATATTCAATATTAAAATGACATTTACCTTTACAGAGACAAGGTATCTATACTGAAAAAGAAAGAAAGAAGGAGGGAGGGAGGTATGGAGGGAGGGAGGAAAGAAAGAAACAGAAAGAGAGAGAGAGAGAGAGAGAGAGAGAGAGAGAGAGAGAGAGGAAAGAAGGAAGGAAGGAAGGAAGGA